CTGATTATTGCAAAAATAACATGATTACAAAAAATATAAAAAACATACATGAGAGAATAAAAACCATTCTTAATGCCCTTCCCTTCACCCATACAAAACCACTGTTAAGCATATTAGAATGTGTATGTTAAACATATGCCCTTCTAGTCATTTTTCTACAGATTTGATTTTTACAGTTCAGATTATAGTTTGTTCTACCATTTTACTTAATAGGCATTTTCATGTTACTAAATAGTAATTTACAGCTTAGTCTTAATGACTTAACCCCTTCCCCAACAATTTTTTTGTTAAAAATGTTTCTTTTTCAGACTAATTTTTTAATTTTGTTTCTATATAGTATTTTTGATGCTGGTTATGAAAACAGTTTGTAACTCGTATTAGAATGTTTATGTTAAACATATGCCCTTCTAGTCATTTTTCTACAGATTTGATTTTTACAGTTCAGATTACAGTTTGTTCTACCATTTTACTTAATAGGCATTTCCATGTTACTAAGTAGTAATTTACAGTTTAGTCTTAATGACTTAAAACAGATTATATGAGTGCTCCATAATTTATTTTAATCAATCCGCTACTTCTTGAACATCTAGGGTATTTCATTTTTCATTGTTATAAATTTCTTAGAAAGAGAAAAACTTTTTATTCTCAATTTTACACCTATCATAAAATTCAAAAAAAATTTATTTTACTTCAACTTACATGGTAATGGAAACATTTCTTCCCAGGACACTAATCTTTTGGATTATCATAAATCTAGTCTCCTTTTATATTTTAACAATTTGAAAAGAAAAGCATGGAAAAAGAATGGAAACAAAAACTAGTACAGGGAAATTTAATTAATTACTTTTAAATTTTCAAAATGTAGCTGTCAAATAGAGCAACCAATAACTAAATAAAAATATGTCAACGGTGGTTACTTTCACATTTCATGATAAGTTTCTATTCTACTTACTTGTGTACAATAGTTACCAGCTCCTCTACAATATTTCCATTCAGAAGAATATCCATTTTTACAAGTTCTGCAGTCTGGTAGCCTGCATCTTCGTAATCAAAACTAACAAGGAAAAATGTTCAAGTAATAGATTACATTCTTTTTCTTTTCAAAACATCTTTTTTCTACCATACCTCCCCCAAAGATTTAACTTTCCATCAAAATGTTACCTATACATCCAAGAGTAACGAATCTAAATTATCACAGTAAGGAACAAATCTCATCTTTTTTTTTTTTTTTTTTTTTTTTTTTGCATTGACAAAGAGCTATTAATAAATGAGACTTATGGATTTCAGTTTGAACCTTCACAGGGCTTTTGTGAGGATGAAATGAGTTAATACATGTAAAACACTTAAACTGTATCTAAAAAGTGTTACAACAGAGTCTAGCACATATAAGCACTCAGTGTCAAGTATTAATATTAATATGGTCAAAGCTTACATGCTAATCAAAACACAGGTTTAACTTACAAAACGGCAGTCTAATGAAAAAATATCTCAATTATGCCTACATGTCTTTCCAAATGGACAAGAACATATATATTTCTATTGTCATAATTTTAAAACAAGCTGGTACCTACAGCTGCAAATGTTTGGTTTCTAAACCATGACGGTTGCAGGGTGATTGATATTAATACTCTCTAAAAGCAGATCATTGCCTAAAGTGTTACTAAAATCCTTTCTTTCTTAAACAAACATCATTAAGCATTTACTGTATGAAAGATACCATGTTAAGTGGTAGGCAAAATACAAAGAGTAATAAGATACTCTTGCTGATCAATATTTAAAACACACACAACTGTTTAAGTACCTGAACTGCCAATTAAATTTTTACCTAGCATATCCAGAAGACAAGGATTTCAAAGAATCATAAAAATCCACCACAATTTCATTCAAAGGTAGGAGATATTTAAGCATAACTCTGTTTTGATCAATAAACACCATATTCTTCTGAACTGCTCTTCGAGCCTAAAAGAGTAGAAAAAAATGTGTTTAATGATCGCCTATTTTAATGATGATCTGAAATACAGACAGATGCCAATTACCAATGAGAATATTTCCTTAATGCTGATGAGTGGACAAAATGAAGGACTATTTCTTTAATGCCTAGTAAAAACTTGCAAGCAATATTTATAATATGGAGAATCATTTTGTATTTCAATTATAATATACACCAGAGCTTTTAGTCTTTGTATTTAACAATTTTATCTTTTTTAATCATACAGTACTTAATTTAACAATAAGTCAAATGTAACTACAAATGAAGTTCTAATTTCTTATTTTATAAATAAAGAAACCTAGATGAGGGAAATTAAGTGACTGACCAAAGTTATAATATAGTTTGTGATAACAATTAAAATTTCAGTCCACTAGTCATCATTTTAGAATTCCTTCTAATACAGGTCAGAGTATTTCAAATAGGTATTTTTTGAGGACCATGATTATGTCCAGTTTTTGGTATAAATCATTTAATACAATGTGGCAAGGACTAAAGCAAAATGGAAAACACCGTCCAATTAAAGGTCTGTCAACTATTACTATTACATTTCAAACTATAATCAATATCAAATACTCAACAAGTCTAAAAGAAATTATACTTTTATCTACGCAGGACAAATAAGCATCAAATTTCTTTTCTTTGGGCTCATTTAAAATAAAAAATGTTTTTAAATCCTCACCTGAGGATATGTTTTTTTAACTGATTTTCAGAGAGAAGAAAGAGAGAGGAAAAGACAGCAAGAGAGAGAGAAAAACATCTATCAATTGCCTCCTGGAGGCACCCCAACTGGGAATCAAACTAGCAACCTGGTATGTGCCCTGACCCAGAATCAAACCCAAAATCTTTTGGTGTATGGGATGATGCTTCAACCAACTGAGCTACTGGACCAGGGCTCAAAATGAATTTTAAAGTACATATGTACCTATATCCACATGTATCTAGATAAATATTGATATCTCTATATATGTATGAAAATTTATTATAAAATTCAATGTGCTCCACAGAGAGAAATCTTTCAAAACTGCTAGAGAGGACAAAAATTTACTTTTATATTAAACTGTATTACATTTATACCTGGCAAAGCATCATTATTTTTCCAGTAAATTCATCTGGTGTTATAATGGTGCCCAAAACAACTGGCTCCAAATATTCTGTTACTTTTGATTTATCAGGGAACTGTGCAGGATTGATTATTGTAATTTCTTTTTCTCTGTATTCCTAAAAATTAAAAAATATCACCAATAATTAAAATGAAATCTGAATAAACAATAACCATGTTTTAATTTAAAGTATGATAGAATTTATTTTGCTATTGAATTTGTTGGAATTAATAAAAACACTGGAATCCCTAAAGAGTAGAATATTATCTTAATGTGTTTTAGATTTAAAAGTCCTCCAATTGTAATCATTTAATATTATTAAGCAATATATTCTGCTGATTCACATTTATTAAACACAATTTATGTACTATTTTAAAAAGTATGATGTAAGAATACATTTGTTCTACCCCTTATAAGGCATTATAATCAGTTTCCTAAGTTAATTTTGTTGGAAAATACTTAAAGTTGTCAAAGTTAATATTTCTTTAAAATAAATAGCTTGCCCCTTAGATAGAACACAGTATTATCCCTATCATTAACTTAAAATCTAAAATTTCCTACACCAGGTAAGAATGAATGCTTCATTTGTAATAAGATTAATTACTTATGACCAAAAATATATTCATCATCTTGCACTGGATTTAGGACAGTATTTTCATTCCCAATTCAGTAACAGATCAGTATTGATAATGTGGTTATTTTACCAAGTAAAAGATTGCATAAATTATTTCTCACGTAGGTTCTCCACCATTATCCATAATTTAATTTTTATTACTATTAATCAAGAAATAGTTTTTTTTTTAAATATATTTTACCAATTTTTCACAGAGAGAAAGGGAGAGAGGTAGTTAGAAACATCGATGAGAGAGAAACATCGATCAGCTGCCTCCTGCACATCTCCCACTGGGGATGTGCCCGCAACCCAGGCACATGCCCCTGGCCGGAATCGAACCTGGGACCCTTCAGTCCGCAAGCCGACGCTCTATCCACTGAGCCAAACCGGTTTCGGCAAGAAATATTTAGTTTTAATAGGTAGTCTGCTAATGGTGTACAAAGTGTCTCTTGTATTCTGCATACACGCATATGCATATACACACATTTAGTTTTCCCTTTTATCCGATTCACAATAGTACCTTTATCAATTTTGCTGATGAAAGAACAGCTTTATATGGAACAGTAGGAGTTGTCAAAATAACAGAGGCATTATATTCTTGCTCTAGTCGCTGGTTGAAAACTTCCATGTGCAAAAGTCCAAGAAACCCCAATCTGGGAAGAAAAAAACCAAACTCCAAAATGTTTATGTCTCATAGGCTCTATTTTCTTTGATGAATATATTGTTACTTTGTGGGGAAGGGGTGGTATCATAAGAGTCATTCAAGCGATTCACATCATAATTACATGTTAGTATAATTTCATTAAGTCAGATTCCAGCTTTCCATTGGTATGCTATTTAAAACTAGAGGCCCAGTGCACAAAATTCATGGGTGGGGGGGCAGTAAGAGGGGTCCCTCAGACCTGTACCTTCTCCAATCTGGGACACCTTGGAGGATGTCTGACTGCCGGTTTAGACCTGCAGGGGTCAGGCCTAAACCAGCAGTTAGACATCCCTCCCGCAATCTGGGACTGCTGATTCCTAACCGCTCACCTGCCTGCCTGTGTGACCACCCCTAACCACCTCTGCCTGCCAGCCTGATTGCCCCAACCCCCTCCAATGCTGACCAGGTCGCCCCTAACCGCCTCTGCCTCAGCCCCTGCCACCGTGGCTTTGTCTGGAAGGATGTCCGGTCTAAAGATGTTACCCTTTTGTTAGTATAGATTGCTATAAAACTTACCTATAGAAGATGAATCCACAGCGTAAAATAGGCAGATATTGTTTCATTTCACTTTACGCTAATATGAGTTTATTTTCAGAAATGTTCCAAAGCAAGAAACCATTTAAACTTTACCTTTCAATAGACATGGAACAATACAATGTAGTTGAATCTTACCTCCAGCCAGCACCTAGGGCAAGGCTACTATCCCGATGAACTGTCACACTGGAATCATTTAAGGTCAATTTTTCTATAGCGCTCTTCAGGTTATTATATTCAGACTGATCCACAGGGTACATTCCTGAGGACATAAGAATTTCTAATTATCACATGTGAAAAGCTGCCAAAGGAATAAATATCCAATGCTTCCAAGATCACAATTAGTCACTTAGCTTTTAAATAACTTACTTATATTTCACTCACCAAAATATTTGTTTGCTAAAAAAAACTATAAATGTTAAGTTACACTGACTTTAAAGTATCTTGCAAGTTTCATAGCCTTAATGAATTTATAACTGGATTCATACTTAAAGTGATGTTTTTATGATTTTACAAAAATGTCAGGGAAACAAAAAAGAACCAACCTAGGAAAATACATTGTGCTTATTTCAAGAAACAAAAGTGGAAGTCGTTCCACAACCACAAATGAGACTCCATTAACAGATAAAAAACAGGAGGAGAAATGAAAAGTACACTGAATTCTCAATTCTCTATGGCAGATTATCCATTAAAATCAAAGATAAATTTTGCTTTTTTCAATTCACTAACAAAAACTACAAAATTACTGATTTATCAGATTCTCTTTCATCTGACAACTCAAGTCCTCAACTCTCAAGTCCTTCAAAAGCCAAATGATTGACTTTGCCTGACCATGGGGATCAAAAACGTTCCTCATTTGCAATGAGAGATACTTAAGGGAGAAAAACAAGGGCTGGATGCAACTTGATGATCTTCAACCAGGTCTTCCTATTTCAAATATCTGTAATTCCACACAGTCATAAAAGGTAGCAAAGTTATATATATGTGAGGTGACACTATTCTCTGCCATATCTACACTAGTACAATATTAAAGAAAGGCCAGCTAAAGGGAAGGTACCCAGTAATAAACTCATTAGAAAAAGATTTCAAATATAATGACCTGATTTGCTAAGGAAATAAGTAGGAAATTCATATTACTATGCTCTTTCATATATCAGAGAACTTGTTTCTTAAGAAGTCCTAAAAAAAATTTAGGAAATTATCTCCTACATAAAGTTTTACTATACACATGAAATTAGCTAATATGTAAATAGCACACACACACAAACCAAAAAGAATATGCTGGAATTAGATGTTATTTAAAATGAGCATTTCTAGTAAATTTTATTTCAATTGACAGAATAAGTTGACCCTCATCCTTTGACTTTGTGATCTCCTCACCTGCAAATACCATTGGTTTCGCTGATTTAAACCCAGGCAAGGGCTCCACTGGTTGCTTATGTAAATATAATGTATCTCCTATTTGTGCTTCAGTGACATCTTTCATCCCAGCAATCAGATAGCCCACCTGTCCTGCATATCTAAATAAAATTATTATATGGAAATATTTACTCCTTTAATGTTTCAAGTGCATACTCAAATAAGCTCTACCTTCCCAGGAAATGATCACTTTCCAAACAAAACCTCATGAAATGGAAACTAAGTGCTACATATCAATTCTGAACTCCAAGGATGATCAGCAGAACACTCCATGCCGTACAGTAAACCCCATTACCAACAACAACCTCAGGGCCTTTTTCATGACTCTGCCTACCTTTGCTTGCATATTGAACACTAGCTAAATATAATGTAAACACCGTGAAACTGATAGTTGCAGAAACATAAAAGACTTCTTGTAGTATTAAAACACTATTAGTGTATTGTTTTACAAATATGCTTTAAAGAAGAAAAAACAAGCAGAAAAAAGTGAAC